AAAAAAAAGTTGTAATTAAATTAAATTTATCTTCTCGTTGTCTGAATTCTCTAGTTTGTATATAAGTGTGGTGTAAGCTGTGTTTAGCAGTGTTTAGTACAAGCCATGGGTGAAATGAGTGGCTTGTCAGACTTAAAACAGGACAAATCATGGGAGCATGTTTGGCAGAAGTGTCTTTAACCTTAACAGCCCAATTGTTTGATGTTTTAAGAACAACAGGCTTTATGATAATGACTGTGTAGACTGTGTGCGGAAGAATAGTGGCTGAAAACTGAAAGTGAATGATATGGATTGTTAAACACTGAGAAGGATTGTATCCAAACAACACAGAACTACTGGAGCAAAGTGACACCAAACCTCAATATTCACCTTGAAGACCCTGTTTCCTCAAAAACTGACTATGGAAAACTTCACAAAGCCAAAACCCATGTAAGAGCTAAAACTAAAAGACACCAATGATAAAATGTGAAAGTCATGATCATAAAACCTGGACAAAATAATGTGAACACCTGGGAAATAGGCAATGTTTCTCTACTGAGGTATTTTTCCACTGTTTGCCTTTAAGCTTCCAACCTTCTCAGAATAGATTCATACAACTTTTGAATAGTCTCCAGTTGAATGTTGTCTATCGCTTCGCTCCCACATCTTTGATTCTCCGGATCAAACTTCAACATCTGCCCTGGCCAGACAAATCACCTCACAATCACCTGACTTGAATATTATCAAACCACTGTGGATAGTTTTGGAGAGAAGTGTGAAAAGCGGACTCCCTCCTCCAACATTTAGACAACATTCAACTGGAGACTATTCAAAAGTTGTATGAATCCATTCTGAGAAGGTTGGAAGCTGTATTAAAGGCAAACAGTGGACAAATACCTCAGTAAAGAAATACTGCCTATTTCCCAGGTGTTCACATTATTTTGTCCAACCTTGGATTTGCTTAGATGGTGTAGTTTCATAAGTTTGTGATTGTACTCTACAGCCCGAAGTGTACTTTAGTTTTGACACAAACACTAGCGTATGTGTACAGCTTAATACATAGCCTTTTAAAATACAGTGAAGGCAAGTTTGAAAGTCAATAGTCATGCTATTGTGAATTTTTTTCTTTTGTTATTGGGGCAAATATGAACACCAAAAGTGTTATCTGTTGTCATTTCTGCTCAACTTTGGTTCTGAGAATCCCGGAAATGTGAAAAGGGTCCAATCATTTTATGAACCATTTAGCAATTGATACATTTTAAATAGCTGATATCACATTAACAGAAAAATTGATCAGTTCCACAGAAAATAACCAAAAACGTATGTAAACTATAAGGATGGCCTTTATAGGAGTTACAGGTCAGATGACTAAACAGTCACTTGCCATTTCAGGTCAGTTCTGCTCTTTCATCTTATACATCCATTTTTATGTATACTGAACATCTCTGACCATCTTTCAGACACTGATACCTTTGCAAGCTTTGGCAAACCCAACAACTGCTTCTTCCTCAAAGCACTTATAATTTGTATAGTTTTTAGCTGTGTGCCGTATGCATCAGACGGTCAGCGAATGGACTGGGTGCAGTTTGCGGGTGTCTAGACTAGCTGTCTTTGACTTGCATTTCCTTTCTTTAACCTCAAGAAATCAGATGATTGCATAACAAACACAAGGGCTGTTGAGTGCATCCCTCTGGCTTCAGCGCAGTCAGGGCATTTCTCTCTCGAAAGGCTCAGAAGCAATTTGGTATCAGCAGTAATTCTTATTGATTTATCACGCAAGTCGAAACCATGTGCACATGTCTTTACTTAGTAGTAAAACATGACCTTCCCTCGTATGCTATGGGTAAACAGCTCAATAAAGCACAATGACAACTGGACCCTCTGCCAGAATTCTGATTCTTTGGGATTTCAACCGACCTCCTACACCAACAAACAGAAAAACACAGAAGTGTTATATTTGTACATTTTCTGCTGCGTTTTTGCTCTGGCTGCGTGAAGCACCAATCGCCCTCCTGTCCATTTTATTCTTTGGAGTGTAGTAATTCAGAGTCGCAACTGAGAGATATAAAATTGAAAATATGCAATTACAAAAGCAAACCTTACATCTGCAGTTTGTTGTTTTTGAGTGGTTTTAGGCCTCCATTGGCTTCTCAGTAGGAGGCCCTTGACAAGTTTCAGAGCAATGGACCCATTACCCCATTCTGTAATCCATGACCCACTTTTCTTTCCTTTTACCAAGGGTTAAGTGCCTTGCATAAGAGTTGATTCTTATGCAACGAGTTAAAATGTAGTTGAAATGTTTTGCAACAATTAAAAATTTTATGCAGTCTGTCCTCAACAACTGCATAAAAACATAAACTATCCTTATATGCAACAAGGAATCAGACAACAATACAGTGGTGTGAAAAAGTGTTGGCACCCTTCCCGATTTCTTATTTTTTTGCATGTTTGTCACACTTTAATGTTTCAGATCATCAAACAAATTTAAATATTAGTCAAAGATAACACAAGTAAACACAACATGCAGTTTTTAAATGAAGGTTTTTATTATTAAGGGAAAACCAAATCCAAAACTACATGGCCCTGTGTGAAGAAGCGTTTGCCCCCCTGTTAAAACTGTGGTTTATCACACCTGAGTTCAATTTCTCTAGCCACACCCAGGCCTGATTACTGCCACACCTGTTCGCAATCAAGAAATCTCTTAAATAGGACCTGCCTGACAAAGTGAAGTAGACCAAAAGATCCTCAAAAGCTAGACATCATGCCGAGATCCAAAGAAATTCAGAAACAAATGAGAAAGAAAGTAATTGAGATCTAGCAGTCTGGAAAAGGTTATAAAGCCATTTCTAAAGCTTTGGGACTCCAGCGAACCAAAGTGAG